GGGGATGAGAAAAAATAAAAAGTTTGACGGTATGGTTGAGAAACGACCTCCACCAGCTCGAAAATCTGTTCACCAAATCTTAGCTCAGTTACAAAATGTGTCCTTCAGATTGCCTGGTAAACATGAAAAGTACGGTGGTAAGAAAAGACATGCAAGCGAGGTTAATTGGACAAAGAAGAGTATCTTTTGGGAGTTGCCTTATTGGAAGTCATTATCGTTACGTCACAACTTAGATGTCATGCATATTGAGAAGAATGTATGTGACAACTTATTAGGCACAATTCTAGACATTGACGAAAAAAGTAAGGATACGGATAAGGCGAGAATCGATTTGCAAAATATGGGGGTGCGCAAGGAGTTACATTTTTACAAAGACGGTGATCGTTGGATGAAACCACATGCGTCTTATACACTATCTCCCGACGACAGTAAAAGTTTTGTGATTTTCTAAAATCAGTAAGGTTTCCTGATGGATTTGCTTCAAATTTAAAGAAAAATGTGATCGAAGAGAAGAATAAAATAACTGGACTAAAATCACATGACTGTCACATCATAATGCAGCGATTATTGCCAACAGGGATACGACCATTCATGAAGAAAGAGATTGTTGATGCAATAACAGAATTAAGTAATTTTTTCGAGTTAATATGCTCAAGGACATTGCGGAAAAGTGATTTAGAAAAAGCTCAACAAGATATTGTGCTTATTTTAATGCAAGTTAGAAACAATTTTTCCTCCTGTATTTTTTGACATAATGGTACATTTAGTTATACACTTGCCTGAAGAAGCCATTCGAGGAGGACCAGTTCACTTAAGATGGATGTATCCGTTTGAACGTTTTCTTGGATCGTTAAAGAAATATGTCAAGAATCGTGGACGTCCTAAGGGTTCGATTACCGAGGCATACATTGTGAACGAAGCTTTGACTTTTTGTTCGTTGTATTTAACTGGAGTTGAAACACAGTTTAACCGACTGGCCAGAAATTGGATGGACGATGAAGATCGTATTGTTAAAAAGATTTCTGTATTTGATACTCGCTGTCGGCCAATTGGGAAGATGACCCCCGTCACATTGGATATTCATTCGCGAGAGAAAGCCGAGTGGTACGTCCTACAGAACTGTCCAGAAATTCAGCAGTTCATTGAGTACGTATACTTTCACTTTTGTCACTTAATTGTTCATTGATTGTGTCGCATACAATCGTGTCATTTACTTTCATTCTCTGTTAAACAGTGACCGTAGGAAGGCGATTGATGCCGACGGTCGAATCATACCATTGGATGAAATTCAATCGAAAGAGTTTCCAAAATGGTTTAAGAATAAGGTACATTTATAATTAATTTGCATTAACATTGTTAAGTCATTAAAAAATTTTGTTTTATAGAAAATTCATTTCTTATTACAGATTTTCAATATTCGAAAGCAGAATGGCCCAGAAGCGAATGATCAAATACTTTCGCTTTCAAGTGGTTCAAGCTTCTCATGTCGAAGTTATCCTGGTTGTATGGTGAACGGTGTCAAGTTTCTAACACGCAATCGAGAT